AATAAAAGTGATTTGATTGATTTGATTTAGCACGGAGTCTGGAACTGTGCCCGGTATATGGCAATAGGCTCACCCCCTATTACATGGGACTCATGACATAAATAATGAAAAGTGGGTGTTACATTGTACAGTGGTAGAATGTGCACCTCTGCCTACCCCTTCAAGGATAAAAGGCGTGATGTTATGTTATCTTAAAACAATAATAAAATATGATGATATAATATATACGACAGAGTACATTCTGTTGTTCTATGGAATAAACCGAAAAATTCCAAGTTTACTTCTCTCTTATCTCTTCAGTGTAAAAAGCAACATATTTTAATAATTCCATCTCCATGTCTTATCCCATTACCATCCAGTCATATTTCAGATTCTAGACTAAGTTATAATTTGAATATTCTAAATTAGGATCTAGTGTGTTTTACGAGTATAAGGGCAATAAGATAATACAAAGTAACTTGTAGAAACGAAAATAATTCATAGCAAACGTTTATAACTTTTAACTTTCAAGGTAAGGAACACAATCCTTTCTAGTTCTAAGTTCTATTAGTTGTTACAAGTGTGTACACCTTCAAACCAGTAATAACTCATAACATTCTATCGAACACGACACACGCATTATCAAAGAAAATTAATTCCATTCATTCAATTCAAAATAAAAAATAACAAAGCAATATCGTGTACGTGCTTAAAAAATAAATTAAAAATCATAATCACATGTTTACCTCGAACGAATGTCCCTTAGATCCGGATAGTGTGACCACTAATGAGAGAGAACAACTCCACACAAGCACAACACTAAGTTTACTAACACAAAAAAAGTTTGTTTATCACACTTTTCGAAAACAGGGCGTGGGACGGCGTGTTATTTCGTAAGTCTGTAGCGGGAAAACGCGTGCGATGCGAGGCGCGCGCGCGAGCCGACTGACTCGACCACCGGCCACTGGCGAACAAGACGCACCGAGATAATCATTGCATTCTGCCATCGGTATTAGAAAACGAATAAATCGCATAGATACGGTGTATTTGCTAATGCTGCGCTGCTGCGCTGTCCGACTGAATGCGCTTGGCAAATACATTATGAGGTCGGCCTGAAACCAATGCACAAGAAACAATTTACAGTTCTTTTAAAATTACATCAAGACTCAGATAAATCTTTAAGTTAATTGCAGCTTTTACGGCTCAGCTTGTTGTTCCACTTTTAGAACAGACATTTAATATAATTATGGTTATATAGACGATGCACTTACTGCATGCCATTCCCAACAGCAAACTGGCTCATGAACGATGACCGTACGTGATATTCAACACTTAAATATGAAAAATTAAAGGCACGTTTATTACACTTTACGCTAACATTATTATAGTAAATACTTGTAACTTGTAAGAAATGATACGATAAAATTAACCAGTAATACTTAATTACTGCTTTAGGACACCGATACATATTTTTTTATGTAAAGAAGGCATAATCATAATTTATTTAATACTGGGACACTTCTCTAAATATAATGACTGCGATATGTAGTTTACAAAAACGAGAAACGTTAATTGAACCCAAAATAATACTACAACAAACATTAGCGACACTACCGAACTGTTACCTCAGTGCCACTGTAAAAATTATTCACTTATGGTGATGGCGTTCCCCAAGGATCTAATTTGGGTCCACTATATTTTGGGTCTGTCAAAATTCGTCTTGAGCATAAAGCTAGAGGCACTAAGGTCTCGTGTCCTTATCATTTTCCATTGTCAGGGTCAAAAAACGTATATAAAAACCGGTACACTTAATTAAATACGCATCGAACAATACCTATTCTAACGACCGCATTTTATGTTTGGCCACATACCTAAATACTTTAATAATACAAGAGAATATCATCAACTCATTTAATCACAATCCATTTTGTTTACACTATTTGTACAATTATAAGTTTAAAATAAAATAAATTATGAGGCTGGGTCAAGATTATCTAAAAAAAAATATTAACATCATCATTAAAAGAAGAATGAAAAAAAACCAGTAAAGTTTGTAATTTCACAAAATATTCAAGTATTACAACCAAATAAATTATTAAAATAATTACATCTAGACGCCAATAATTTAATCGCACACATTATACAAAGCATTCTGATTTCATAAACATACAATGTTAATTAATATTAATACTTGGTAACTGTGATTTCTATGTAAAACATCTCATATATGACACAAGCTTCTGCGCGCGCCTTCGATAAAAATTAGCATATGTGTTGTTCCACACCATAATCCAACCCTGTTCCAAATGCTAACCCGATTCCTTATGCTAGTTTGACGTGATTGGATAACAAACATACACTCAAACTAATCAACTTTCGCATTTATATTGATATAAATAAGATACATAATTGGGTACCTGCCAACTAGTCAAAATCAATACTTTTAACGAACTGTCAAAAACGTCAGTTTTCTATGAATTTTGTACGAGATTATGTATTGTGACGTCGCGGTTTTTAAAAAATTGCTGGTAAAATACTAAAATTAATTTGGTCATAAAATCAATAAATGAAAGTGTGATTATATTATAATATTTTATTGTATTGAACAGTCGATTTTTGATTAAGGAAAGTACCCAATTGTGGAATGGGTAAAAGAAAAACATGGTAAGACAAATGTACCATTTTAAACCAATATTACTTACTAATTGTGATTTTTCAACACATACTATGTCATTCCAGGTTAAAATTCGTATAAAAAAATACATTTTCGAAAATGGTGTTTGTTTATCTAACATTTAACACATAGTATTCGATTCGATAAACATTATTAGAAACACAAATATTTATCAAATTCATATAGCAAAAATACAATTACCCAAATAAGGCTTATTCTCCAATTTCCCTAATTTTATTTACTACATTCAAAATCCATTAAGAGACTCATAAATTACTAATTACTATATATATTAGGTATATAGATAATAAAAATACATATAAAAATGTATATTAGTAGCAAAATATTTTATATATACAACCTGCCAATATAAGTATATAAATAAGGCAACATTATCTATATAAATAAAAATGAATTTCTGTTCGTTTGTCTCGGTAAAACTCGAAAACGGCTGAATCGATTTGGTTAATTTTGGTAATTTGGGTTTAAAAGGTGAAAAGTCAGAGTTCTCTGAAGAACACTTCAGAGTCTAAGTGTGTTATGTTTATGTATGTGTGTGTTTTCAAATGTAATCACGACACAGAGAAAATATCTAGTGTGGAGTCATTAAAGAAAATTACAATTGAAACAACCAATACAAACTGCATTAAAATATTTCCTAACTAGCGGTCCCGGTAAACTTCGTGCCGCCTTTTCACCTTTTAAACCCAAATTGTTGTGTGAATTGTTATTCATGAATCATACAAATAATTGTTCGGCGCACTAATCGAACCCGCGACACATTACGGAGAAGTTAAACTTAGCAACTGTGCTTTCCATGCGTTTAAACAGTTCATTGGGTGTTAGTAGTGTTGAATTATCTAAAATCTAGTCGAAAAATGTAAATTAATCAAAATATTAATAGTTTTATAATAAAACTTTTATCTAAAAGAAGGGTATATCAAAATTCAGTGACATTAAACTGCCACCCTAAAAAGGGTACAGACAGTACAATAATACATACATATATGCTGTACTTTTATCTTGCAATTATTTCACGAATGTTTTTAATTACGTCAGTACAAGTTCGCGTGTTCGCGCGTCCGCGCTGCGATAATAGATCTTATTACAACGTTATATAGACGAAACGTTTTGATTATCTATCCTAAACAATTTTAGTAATTTTTCGTATACATATAAGTAATAAAAGGTATAAAATTATTCCAAAGATTCCGATTTCAGATCTTGACAAATACTTCAAAAGAAAATATAAATAAATAAGCAAAACTTATCAAAATAATGTAACAACAGGCGTCATGTGTTTGTACTTTCATTAGTATTAAATAGTAGGTCGCAACCTCAATCGAGATTCCTAAACGATTGCTACATCTCCTAAGCTATTATTCGATTGTTTATAGAAAAAACTAAAGGACAGTTAGTCAAGTTATTTAGTATCCAACTAAGAAAATAAATTGTATAGTTTTATAACGAAGCTCATGTCTTTTGTAATCATTTATCAGCTCAGTAGCCAACCAATGGTTATATTGTCTCTAACTGAAACAATGTACATTTCCTTAACTGCATACTAAATATATTTACGTGTCAAGGAATAAAACTGATCATTAGTAAAACAAGCCTTAAGTTAAGGATGATTAAAATAGGACGCGAGAATTAAATTGATGCATAATTTGCCCGCATTGATGATATTTTTGTAAATTCGATTTTAATTTCATCAAAATTCGCTAGTCGCTCGTAGTGCCATCTCCATTTAGAGCGAGATTTATTAGCCTGACAAGATTTTAATCGCCAGAGGCGCCATCTACTAAGACCAAATAGTTCAGCCTCCAAATATAATTTCTAAACTTCTCGCAGAGTTGAGGCACGATACAATGGAATGATTCGACATTAAATATTACAAATAAACAATAAAACTACGAACTAAACACACTGGATGTCACTAAGTAATATAATTACACTAATTTACGTATAAAATGTACAACAAACCTTTGGTCGATTACTGGTAAAATTTCCAATGTACTAAAATCTCTTGAAGGGTGTTCACTTTACCCGCTGAGTATTATGTATAGAGCATAACTTATACGGAAGTTTATTAGAACTTGGACTTTTTCAGATCTGTGGGAAATACTTTTTAGTCAACTTATCACTGGTTTTCGTAATCTGAGGGTCTAATAATTTTTCGTCTTGCGATATGTTTGCAACCAGAGTTTTTATAAGTGAAACTTGTACTTTGAAAAAACCCATTTTATAAAGAAGAAGTATCCGAACTTCCTATGGAACCAGTTTTCATTAAAGACAGTATTAGAGACATTTTCGTGCATTTTGTAGCTAACTTCAGTATAATTCGAGTTGACTAAAACAACTTCATGCAAGTTGTTATTCTAACGTTTGGTATTATAACATGGGAATATCTTTCAAGTGATAAAATAATAGCTATATCGACAAGAGAGAAGAGGACAAATACGTAACGAATTCCTTTGATTTTTTCCAAGTGATACACAGACAGCTCTATATCGACAGAAGAAGTCAAAATCTGATGAGACTTCTCTTACTAAAGACGATATCAAAGAAGAATATATCCATATCGACACAAGAGATGACGATCTGACAAGTTCCACATACGACTCAAATGAACAGTACAGAAATAGAAACAGCAATGGGAGTAGTTCCTAAGAGTAAAACGTGAGTACGGCGGCGTGGTTCCCGCGGACGAGGAGGGTCCGGTCGGCGGCGGTGGCGAGCGCGTGCAGCCAGGCCACGTAGAGCGCGGGCGGCACCACGGCGCGCCGCCGCGGCATGGGCAGCGTCACGCACACCAGGCGCGCGCCGCGCGACTGCGCCGCGATCAACTCGCGCAGCCGCAGGTGGCGCCACGTGCGCTCCTGCGCCGCCAGCAGGTCCGCTTCTGTGATGCCCGCTGTGGATACAAGCCACACGTTAGTGGTAGAGCGCGGGACTGACACCAATATTCTCAACTTGCCCAAAACTACGAATTTCTTCTGTGTCGTAGGTGCATTTATAAACATACAATTTCACATACACATATAATAATAATAATAATAAGCCCGCAGGGCACCTTGAGGCGAGGTGACGGGCATTAGCGATCCCGCAGGCTACCATCATCCCAAGTGCTCTAGGGAGAAGTCACCGTTCCTTCTTCTCCGGCTTGCCTTAATTGGCTGGCTGGAGTGAACGAAGACAAGGAACAGGTCTCCCACCTCTGGCTTGCCTTCATTGGCCGTCCAGAGTGGAGTCGCGAGAGCAGTGATCCTGCTCGGAGAGTAAGAAACTATTCGTAAGTCGCGAGTAAGCCAGGGATGCAGGAGGCTTCGGCTGGAGCAGATGATCTGAGTAGAAAGCGGTGGTAGTTTTTTAACCCTTCAGCCACTCACATTCTCGTTGCCCCTCTGTTGCTATATCTAGCAACCATTCCCGGGGCCCGGTCGGTGAGTTGGCGAGTCTCCGCCTACCATTTTTACGTGTAATAATTACATTGTTTCGGCAGGTGCCATAGTCATCCATAGTTCCCAATTTTCCAGTCCACAGCAACCCATCCATAGCCCTACCTTTTTTTTTCCATTATCCACAATAGTTCTACACTAACCGGGGACTGTCCTTGGGTGCATTTCCATAGTGCATACAGGGATAGTCGCCGGTTTGTGTGTCCATTACATTTAGATTAAAGTTGTCTAAAGGGCCTCTGCGCAGTTGGCTTCGGACCCTCGTACGCCTCCCAAATGCCCGGGACCCTGTGGTCCCGTGAATGGTAAAGACATACATAATAATAATAAAATAATAACATGACATCCAGACCCGGAACACCAATAAACAAAACAGTACAAAGAGTTATTCCGCCAACCGCGTAGTATTTTCTTTTCGTTTATTAACCGTGGAGATTATGGCACACCGTCTATTAAAAGAAAGACGTTTATTCAGCAATGCACTTTAATCTAGCTGTCTGGTTACGACTTAACATTCCCATACGAATAACATCACAAATAGAATTATTGGTGGTTCAATTCATACTTCTCCCAAAACGCTGGTAAAGCTTTTATAACTCCTCTAGTGTCACGGATGTATATAGGCTGTGCCAATTGCTTACCATCACGTGATCCGTTTACTCATTTACAGTATCCTCCAAATTTTTGGTAACCTATCTAAGCAAGCAATACTTACAGAAACCCCAAACAATACTCTTTATTCAATAACATACGAAAGAACATGAGAATACATACTGTTATCATCGTCGGCACACTTGAAGGGCGTGATCAATTTGTCAAAGTATGCAAGGGTGGAGTCCTTGGGCCGCCGCGTTATGTCTGATATCATCTTCAGGGCGGAGTAGTCTATCCGGAACTTTGATAGTAATGAGGCCATGCTGTAGACAAAATCATTAATTTGTGAATTGAATTGATGAAATGTGGATTGGTAAACTGACTGACAGCTAAAATGCAGTCCTAAAAAAAGGAAGTGAGAATTTTCGATCTCGCCAATCTTTCTATCTAATTCACATCAACATTTCTCAAATATGAAATCTATTAAACCATATCACGAACTATCTGAATGCCAATTTCATCTAAATTCGTTCAGAAGTTTGCTAATAATTTTGCAACAGATATAAAGTTCCACACTCCACACATCATTCTGTTTATAACTTTTTATAACAATACTTACTTTCGTTCCTCAATTTCGAGTTCTGTGTTCTTGTTAGCGAGTGTGAACACTCGTAGTGGACACGACGACCAGGCGCGACGTGTTGATAAGATGTAAGGCAGGAGGAGGGTTAAACCTAGTACCAAAGTCAAGTATTAAAAAAAATAATACAAATTGTTATTTTACTAAAAATAAAAAATATGATTCTAATAAGGTCGCATACTTCGCGTAGCCAAAAAGCCACGAAGTACGTCCCACTACAATATGGGCAATGATAAAAATATGATTAACAAAAGACAAGAGCTTTAACAAGTGCGTATAATGCACGTCATTCGTAAAATAAATAATATACTACACCAAAGGAGTAAAGTGCTTATGTATACACAGTATTAATATTACATTTATTTATTCTGTGTAAATATTAATATGTATTTACTTTTTTTTTACTCCAGAGGCATATTTTGATGCCGTGACCGATTAAGTCGATTGAAAATAAGTGATTTATTTTTTAGACAAATAAAGTATTATCATAGTAGTTTTAGTAAACGTATCCAAAGCTTACCTCCATCGTCATACAGCCACCATACGTCGACAGTGCCGGCCTGTCGCTTGGTGAACTGTTCCACGGATGTGAACGACGAAGCGCGCCGCGCCGCCGACCCGCCCAGTGCACGACGCACCACGCCGCTTATACCAGTGCCGCCCAGTACTGAGCTGTACGTGCAATTACATCATGAAATTACATATAGAGCACTGATCATTAATAGTCTGAAAGAATCCACTGCTGAATAACGGTATGGACTTCAAATAAGAAAGATTGTTCCGAGCTTAAATCAAGTAATGATGCGTTTCGAAAGTGTTTTACCAACAATCAATAAGTGTTATTAGATTATTTGTTAACAAGTTTTTACTTGACTCTTTCATACGTAGCTCTATACATAAGTTTTATTTCCTAAAATAGAATTGTTATAACTAAGTTTAACAAATGTCACTGAAGGATTATTAATAATTTAATTTAACTATTTACTCAAAGTGTTGTAAAATACCTAAGCTACATGGCAAAGATACTACTACCTTTAAATATAGAACCCTATTACATAAATGAAAATACAATAAAGTTCAATTTTACTTACTTATCTTTGTCATCGCTCTTTTGTGCTTTATCGTTCTTCAACGCGGCGGGGTCGGCTGACACGCCGCGGTCCAGTTGCGGCGAGCCGAGGGATACATCTGACATACTGCTACCTGTATTTAGTATATAAAATTAGCATTTATCTAAGATTTAGAGGAAAATGGGAGGATTTGGAGGTTTAATTAATCTATAGCTTGGTGTTAAATTATTTTTTATCAAGAAATGACTTCAAAACATAAGAGCGTTATTAAATTCTATCTATCTGGGTTCATGTCCAGTACAACCAATATATCTTGAGCCCTCTAAATTAAAAACTTGACTGAAGTTAATGAAATATCAATAAGGACAATAGGGATCTAGTAACATTGGATGATCTGTACGTGATAGAAAAAAAAACAAAATCTTCATAAAATACAAGGAAGCCATGATTGCTTATAAATAACAGCAGGCGCTTTGAGTGACTGAGTATATGAAAACAACAATAAAGCAAATATCGGAAGCACTTCAAGGAATGAAAGGCAAAAGATTGAGTTATTTAAGCAAATAGTTCATTGGCATGAACTCAGGAAACCAGTAAGGAGTTCAAGAAAAATTAAATACATTAAAAATAATAAAGTAAAAACAGAATATAATATGGAGCCGTATTATATTTTTACAAAGTAATATAACGCCACCAGTGAGGCGAATGTGGTCTTTGAGTGTTAGTGGGCTTGCATAACTTCACTACTGTCTCCCATGGGGGTAAGCAGAGACTATGGAACGCCAATTGCTACGATTTGTATGTACCACTTTCGCTTTATCAACACTCATCAATCTTTAGTGGGCTTGTCCAATGTAAAATAGAACTTAGGTAACATAGTTGGCGACTAGGGGTTGCATTCATGTTCACTATCAGCATATAGCTATCCCATTCCAACTGCGGAGAAAAAAGCTTTTGTCATACCACGAAGGAATGAGCATAACCATCGCGGTGCGGCGTTACGTTAGATAGGAAGATGTAATTTGCATACTACTTATGCTACGTACTGGGTACCTCCCGTCGACAATAAAACATAGTGGCATTTGATTTATTTTTATTTTTTTATGGCATAAGCCGGTAAACGAGCAGACGGATCACCTGATGGTAAATCTATGGATACCTGGAACACCAGATGCGTTACAAGTGCGTTACCGGTCTTTTGGGGAGTAAGAGTTTGAGGATCGTTGGGGATTCAGGGATTGCCTTATTATTATATAAGGAATATTTCCTTAAACCACTTATTATTTTTCATTTTATAATACGGCTCCATGGCAACATATATAAAAGATGGCAACTTACCTCTGGAGTGCGTGTTGAGACTCTCAGTGGACTTAGATTCCTTATTATCTCCCATGGAACCTAAACAGAAGCTGATGTCTGATGCCGGAATGATACACATATAAAGACATTGGCTGCGGAAAATACTCCAATGTATGATGTGTGGAAATAGATAAGAGAGGTGATGGATACTGTTCTTTTTTTTCATTGTTTCATTAAAAGATTATCACTAGAATATCAACAGTGTTCTCGATATTTCAACTAAAAATAGACATCTTATTGCAGTATAGTTTACTGCAATTTTATGTTGCATTGAGAAGAGATGACTTTTAATAAAGATCAGTTACGATGTCAGTTAGATCAGATAAGAAATCTAGATCTATTTGTATTTTAATGAAAAATGAATATTTATGCATCATGTTTTCGCAAAATATAATAAAGAGAAGTTGTACGATCCGTGACCAGATTTTGTAGAAGCAAACCATACATACATAAATAAAAAAATATATTTTACGCAGCCAAAAAATAAAGTTATTCACCAACAAAATGGAAATTACAATCGAAAGTGAGTTAATGCGAATGATAAATCAATTTATTAGTCATTCAATACATTTTCTAACACCCATTAAAATTAATTTCCTACTACAAATAGTTTCGTTACCACTAACATAGCGAGAAATGTACTGTTTAGATTTAAACATAAAGACCAGCAGAACAAGCTATACTAAACTAGAAAAATAATTCAAGCAATTTTTAATCCTTTTCTAAAACATATAAGGTTGAAATTCAATAAGAGTTTTCTTACTTCGGGGTACCTTTATGAGCGAAAGATAACAGATTTTCAACCTTATTACAAGAAACATAACGTTGAAACTCGACCAAAAAGATTCACAGTTCAGTGTACCTTTATGTGCAGGCGATGGCATTGATTTTGTACAGTTTTCTTACATTATAATTGCATTAGTTAAGGTATCGAAGTAGGCCTATATTTATATTGCAAGATTTGTTCGTCTCGCTTTATGGACATTTAAATAGAATTAGACTGTTGAACTTTGTATTTCTCAATAATGTTAACGCATTTGTGTTGAATATTATCATCGATATTGTTTGATTTTCGAATATCTTGTTAATTTCATCAAAAAGAATCTCCTACCTTTTAGTAGGTAGCTTCTATTTGCAAAAGTAACATTTAGTCGCAAAATAATCTGCTGTTTTTATTCGCTTAGTCTTGTAGACTTTTTTAGCTACTACACAATCCAATCACCATTTATTCAAAAGGATTATTTTCAATAAGCAAGCTTTATATTAATATTTCTCAATCAGAATAAACTTATACAACACTTTTGGCTTAACAACATGAGGTCCAAAATAGCTATGTAAGAAGTACTCACGCGAGAAGGCGGACAGGTCCTTGAGGTTGACGTCAGCGAGGTACGAGTGCAGGTCGTGGTCGAGCGCGTCGGGCGCGTGCTGGCCGGGGGGGACGCGCAGCACGGCCAGCGCCATGTGCACGTCCAGGGCCTTGCTGGGGGGGGACACTCTTATAGCTACAGTATGTATATGACTCTCGTGGTCGAGCGCGTCGGGCGCGTGCTGGCCGCCCTCCACGCGCAGCACGGCCAGCGCCATGTGCACGTCCAGGGCCTTGCTGGGGGGGGGACACTCTTATAGATAGCTTTTTTCGCTACATTATATTTATGACTCTCTAAGCAGCTTGGGGTGATGTTGCGAATATTCTCATCCGCATCCGCATATGTGGAATATCCGCATCGATTTAGACTTCCGCATACGCATCTGCATTCGCATAAATCGATGCGGAACTGATACGTGTACTGTGTAGCAGGTCCCGACAAGAAAGAAAGGGGCGGGCCCGGCAAGCATCTCGTGTTGACTGCGTCAAACTGTTATCTAAAATGGCACGCTAATTCATATCCGATCCAGCGCAGGATTAGTATACGAACCCTTGCGAAACAGACTGAAGTCTGAAAATGCGGCCATTCTACTTTTCATTACATATTATAATGCTCCACTATTCACAGGGCATTGACTAAAATTGATGTCTTTTTTTTCTGGCGACAGTCGATGATTTATGGAAATATTATCTAATATGACATTAAAAACGAAATTGTCTATGGGCTCATACATGGAAATCTCAGTCTGAACCGAGTTATGGGCGTTGAAAGGAGCTAGAGTCGAACATTAGACTTTGGTTTTTTATTCAAATTATTCATATTTTTGTCACAATTCCTAACTTCAAATTGCGCACCACTGTACGCCTGGCACAGGAACACCATATCACATCCCAATATGGATGGTATGCCAAGCACTAATTTTTATTAGCTATTTTCTCTCAGTCGATAACTTGTGGGATGCTTCTAGAAGTTGTGTCATAAAGCTTCATGAGCGTCAGCTGTGGTACTAGTGGTGGGTTGAGTAGTGGTAGCCGTCCAAATATCTAATAAAGTATTATTTTTTTGCCGTACTCCTGACGGGGACTCGTCTACTTTATAGTTAGCATAATCTTTTGAAGAAAGGAAACCATCGACTTTGTAAAGTGATGGGCTGTACGTCAGATGAGCGCAAAATGTTTTCATATAATGTGATCAGTCGAAATATAATCCATCACTTTGTGACTGAATGACGATATCTTTGTACAGAATCTTATGCTAACTGTAGATTAGAGTATTAACTGTAGTTAGATTAGTTACTACTCGGGAGTAAGTCGGGCGAAGTAGACAGAAAAAATGATTTTTCGTGTTTCGACGACTGCCGCTACTCAATCCTTTTTTTTCGTCGCAAAAAAAAAACATAGCATTTCATGATAGGACTCAGTAAAGTATTTTGCGGGTTTTCGACTGAGAGGAAATTGGTAAAAAAAATTTTCTATTTTTTTTTTCGTATAAAAAAAAAGTGAACACGCTAGCCAATCAAACAAAATGTTTTTTTTACACTAGAAAAAAAAAGTTAATGGTCCACTCTGTTCCACTAATTCCATGAAATTATAACAAAAAAAAATAAAAATAAATTAAGACCCAATTCCTTGAAATCGTTTATAAATATTTATTACAAAATATTTCTGACAAGTAAATGAAGAAATATGCGTTGTGTCCGGTCACCATCAACAAAATAACAGGAATAGTATGGCACTATTTTCACATCTTTGAACTGATTTAACTCGGTTAGGACTGTGTTTTTTATATAAGACCCCATATAGTTTTTTGTTTATTTTGCATCAGTTTTTTCACATCCTATCAACTGCCGCAAAAAATTAAAAGGTACCACGCTCAATACAAATTTGGTCATTGTCATTTTACAAAATTGCCTTTTATCCCCGAAGGGGTAAGCAGAGGTGCACATTATACCACTGTACAATGTAACACCCACTATCACTATTTATGTTATGAGTCCCATGTAATAGGGGATGAGCCTATTGCCATATACCGGGCACAATTCTAGACTCCGTGCTGTGTGTAATATGAAAAAGACGTATTACTGTCTCTTTTTACCCTACCCACACTTAAGTTTTGTATACATATCTGCATCCGCTTCCGCGGATGTAGAAAAATCTGCATCCGCAACATCCCTGACTAGAAGAACGAAGTAATCCGAATAAAATCACAAATAATAAGAAGAAACTTACTGCATAACTTCGACATAGTCTGCGATTTCGTTTCGCTCGCTCGTTTGCCAGTTCTCCTTGAATCCCATCAACAAGATGTTCGGCTTCAACTTGCCAATACCACTAGCCTGGAGAGAAACAATACGAAAAAATATTATACAGGTGCGACCATAATCATAAAGTATACATATACAGTGCATAATTTTAGAATTTTCACAAAGCTCTACAAATATTTTGACCGCTTGGGAATCCAGCCCGAAGTTCGATAGCCACGTTTGCAACCACTCATCATCATCATCAACAGCCGAAAGACGTCCACTGCTGGACAAAGGCCCTTGGCCAGCACTCAACCAAACAAAACTAAGTAATATATTAGGTACGGATTTACATGAGAAAAGTATTTACCTGTACAAGTGCACTGGCTCCGTCCTTGAACCCGACATCGTCTACAATGGAGTAGAACGCCTTGATCTTCCGTCCCTTGAACCACTGGTACGCGCGACTAGTCAGTGCCTCGCGACCGCGGTGGCTCACCTGGCCCTGGACGTGGAATATAAATTAATACATTGTTTAATCTGGATGAATTGAGATAACAACGCTTAAGTCAAAGTGTGGGAGGGCCATGCTTCGGCACGAATGGGCCGGCTCGACCGGAGTGATATCACGGCCGAGCAGAAAACCGACGTGAAGCAACGCTTGCGTTGTGTTTCGTCGGGTGAGTGAGGTTACCGGAGGCCCAATTACCCTCCCCTTCCCCAATCTCCCCAATCCCGGAATCCCCAACGATCCTCAAACTCCTAATCCCCAAAAGGCCGGTAACGCACTTGTAACGCCTCTGGTGTTCCAGGTGTCCATGGGCGACGCCGATTGCTTACCATCAGGTGATCCGTCTGCTCGTTTACTGGCTTACGCAATAAAAAAAAAGTCGAATTCTTTCTTTCTTAAAAAAATTCGACCATACATTCTCTAGTGTCATGGATGCATTTACTATTCAGTACGCATGCATTTTCATGTTATACATCAAACACTGAGATCCGGAACAACAATTTGTAAATCACACAAATAATTATTCCGTGCGGAACTCGCGTCACGTATTGTGCTAACCATGCAGTATTACTACATAAGTTACGTAATTGTGTTTACAAAATTTTGGGACCTATTTATTATAAATTCATTTAATTTCAATGAAAAATAAAGGTTATCACAAGGCACTAAAGTAGATTATCTCATAACTGACCTGCATTATATGTCCGCAGAGCATGAGTGAGTGTCCCTTAGTGAGTAGATACGTGAAGTCTGTCAGGATGGGACGTTCCCCGGGGAACCCGGTCAGTACCAGGATCTGAGGCCTAAAGAAACAAATAATATAAATTACTTTGCCCGATTTGAGTATCGAGATACCTTGTCTGACATACAACAATTAAACTGTCAAACACCACATGGTCACCGGTGACCGCAACCTATTGTTCTATAATTGTGTCTGTTATGACGGTACTCGATGAGTTAAACAGCGACTTTATTACACAAGTCATTAAGTTGATATTTGCAGTATTCCATACCTGTAATTTTTAACATGTTCAGTGACAGTATTGAGGTGGTAGACCCCAGTGAGCGCCGCCTTGTATGTCTGCGCCTGCGTCGTAGAGCCCCAGTTCACATCTATGAAAACGTACCAAAATTTTATTTTAATTTCTATAAAATGTTTGTATATTATTAATGTTCTGCTTATTTTAATGTCTGTACCCATACGTAAAGACATTATGTTTACGAATAGAAAACTATAAATACCAGGCGAGATAGTGGTCGAACGACAGCCCATCAAATATATAAAAAAATGGAAAATCCACTTTGACCGTTAACGTAAACAAAATCAAGACAAAATTAGTACCAAATCTACGCACATGGCGCTAGTTTCGTTTAAAGATTCAATTACTATGATACCTAAACATTCTTAAAATAAAAAATATAAACATACTGACCTGGCTTCCTGTAGGAGACGAGCAGATACAGAGTGAGCAGGAACCCGAATGTGACGAGTGCAGTGATCCAAGAGATCACGAACATGATGGCCACGCACAGGAGCGAGCCCACCAGGGACAGCCACATGTTGTAGAACTGAACGGGGGACATTCATGTTGGAACTTAACATCGACTTGTATTAAAAGGGCGAAGGAAACTTAAGAAACTTCAATATTGAGTCAGAGTAGGTACAGCATTAATTAACTCAGCATGAAGCCTGATTGTCAAATAGTCAGTACTACTCTCAGTTCTGTTATTACTGACAAGTCTTTACCAACTCCTCACAGTGCCAAGCACGAATAATTATCACATTCGTATCGTAACAGTATCGAGCGAGTTCGGCGTTCAGAGTGCCAAGCATGAATACCTATCGTATACGTAACGTAACGCTACGCTGATTGGCCGGCTCAAGTGAACCAAGCAATCAGAACGCTTAACTCGCTCGATACTGTTACGATACGAATGAGATAGTTATTCGTGCTTGGCCCTCTGATTGGTTAGTTTACTGGAGCCGGCCATTCATAGCGCCAAACGCGCCCGATACTATTAAGTTTCGAATGCGATAGTTATTCGTACTTGGCACTCAGTACCGCATTCGAACTCTAGGCACAGAACAACATATCAGCTCGCAGTTGTCTATTCTCATACACTGAGTGCAGCTCTAATATCTGTGCTATTAGTAAAAATTACCCAAATTTGCCCGACCTAGGAATCGAACTTGAAATGTTACGTTCAAGCTGACGATTCTGGCTATTCTCTTGTTATACTCGAATCGAGACAAAGAAAATGAATAGAAGTAAAAGTAATAGATTAAGAATTCTTACCCTGAAGGTAGGTCTCCATCCCACAGGCTTGGCGAGACTGGCATGGAAGGTGGAGAAGTTGATGAGAGCGTACGCGGCCAGGAAGAAGTTAGAGATCAAGGGCGCTATCTGGTTCAGGCCGCCTGATAGCAAAATATCATTATAAATTAAAATATTAAAAGTCAATGTCGTTGTGTTATGGTTAACACAACGACATTGACTTTTCACTGAAGAAAAATTACATTTTGCATCACAACCGCTCAAATGTTTTGTTCTTTCTTTGAAAACGTGATCACTATCAAAGCAAATCACATCATATCCATTTATTGTGTGTTTACATGTGCACATACAATAAATAATCTCATGCTGCTCAAGATAGCGGGTAACAGTGAAAAATGTTCGAGTCATATTTGCTGTATACAATAGCGTGCAAATATAATAGTCACTCATAATGATTGCGAACTATTAGACATCTTCCGAATGTAGAAATTATATTTAATATTAGACATTGATGGGATAAGACTTTAATTTTATTTTCAAGTAAAAAGGTCTCCTAACTACTCTATCACTAAGCTTTGCACTTAACATACGATTAAATGCAAATACGTACATGTACGCAAATTATCTTATACTATTATATAAAGCGGAAGAGTTTGTTTTTTGTTTGTTTGTTTGTTTGAACGCGGTAATCTCGGTAACTACAAGTCTAATTTGAATAATTATGTTTGTGTCGGATAGAGCATTTATCGAGGATGAAACATCACGCTACGACCAATAGGAGCTGAGCAGAGCGTGTGAAACCGCGCGGAAGTAGCTACTTCCGCTATAACTAGCTAGTTATAGATAAAATATTACTTTAAAATGATGAATATTGAGTATAACTCACCCATAAGTATGAACGCGACTGCGATGACGAATGTGAGCACGTACCCACGGACTGGCTCGTTGTTGGGACCGTAACCTTTCGCGAAAAACTCAAGGTACGGGTACAACTTGTCTTGGCATAGCGCCTGGAAATATCGAACATTAATTATATCAACTTTTAAATTTATTTATATTCAAATATTCAAACACCACTGAATTATAAGTCACGCTTAAGTATAGTTCTGTCAGTACAAATTCTTTGTAAAATCAAAGAGATGGCACGATATTGAAGTATAACTTAAAATTTAGTTTTTTTTTAAAAGGGGAATATCATCGAATGACTTCTCCCGCCTCACCCAGGCGGGAGTGTCAGACTCTCTCCTTCTCCTGCACGTCGAGCCGGAGCCCCGGTTACCCGTTCTCGGCATAAACCGTAATCGGCATCAGCCCTGTTGGGCTCCATCCGTGGTGGTCGGATGGCTCTTTGAAAAATTGAGTTAAAATTAAATTAATTAAAGCCTTACAATATTCAAGCATTGGCGTACTTAAATATAAATTAATTTATATGTCCCCGACAACAAACTGCTAATAGTGACCTAAAATATAAAACAAACCTGAAACACTTTAGGCGCTGACACCAAAGACGCGAGTGCAGAAGATAAAGTCGCCGCGAAGCATCCACCGTAGATCAGCGGACCGAATCCAGATACCAGGCGAATTACCTGTAAACAAATGAAAATTAAAATGAAATCATTTATTTGTAAACATTACTATGTTGTTTTTAAAGCCCAGAAAAAAGTTTATATATAAAGCTGTTCAAATGATAAGACATACAGTGCAATACAGCGAGTTCGTCTATATTTTGCTTTGAAGCATACAAATTCATATAAGTAAGTAGTGAGTGATAAAGACACTGCTATATTCCACGTTTCGAGGAGTCTATTACATTATCGGGTAATTTGAGTAAACAATTATATTTTCATGCATCGAATTATCGATATCGATAAACACGGTACCTAATAGCTCACTTCACGTACGGTACTAGTGGCTACGGTTCCCGGTTCGACTAGACTAATCGAGTTTCCCCGTAATAGCCGAAGTGGCAATATCCCTAAACTGATCGACGGAGATTCGATACGAAGTACTGAAGAACTCATAAACGTGCTACAAAACAGAATTATGTTCAAGTATGGATAAAAACAGATTTACGAAAGTATACAGAGTGGATATAAATAGGACAATGAGGAGAGGGCGCCCTAGACGGACATATATCGACCAAATTGGCAATATATTAAAGAAGGGCCAAATTAAAAATACCCTTAGCCGATGAGCATGCATGATAAGACTGATGACTGTTGATGAAGCGAAAGAGGTATGTAAGAATCGTAGCAATTGGCGTTCCATAGTCTCTGCCTACCCCCATGGGAGACAGGCGTGAAGTATGTATGTATGTATATAAAACTTACATCATTACTATTATGCAGTCCATAAGCGCATGTGTCAGTAGCAGCGCAGTGGTCGAGGGTCCAGTTAGCAATGTCTGCGACGTCCCCTGAAGCGTCCCGTAGTACTGTCCACCCAGCTATGACTGCTATCACCAGGTATGATATCGTTGTCAACAGGATAGCCAGGAGGGTGCCTTTAGGAATAGATTTCTGGGGGTCCTGAAAAAAATTGTATAATATGTTTTATGTTCAAACTTTAATTGTGTTCTTGGTAATATTAAGACTGTGGTTTTACTAGCTGTTACGCCATATATCGAGGGTTCGATCCCTACATGGAATCACACATCGTACAGAACAGGCTATAATTCCAAGTTTCATGTCCTCATTTCCCACCTTTCCGTTTCAAATATCATTTCATCACTGACTTTCACCCACATGAACTTACATACGCATCTGATTATAATAATGTGTGGGTAATAATGACGACGTACTTTCTAAGATTATCTAGACACCACTGACTAACGGTGAAGGAAAACATCGTGAGGAAACCTGGCATTTAATTTCTTATTAAAAGTTTGTAATAGCCAAACCGCATTGAGCAAGCGTGGTGATTAATACTCAAACCTTCTCTATACGAGAAGAGGCTTTGCTCAGCAGTGGGCACTTACCTTACACGCTGTTGATGATGATGAATAATGACGTACCATTCTTCGTTGATCATTTTCCCAACATTAATAAAATCCTGTAACCCTTACTTAATATAAAAACTACTAGCTGACCCGGCGAACTTCGTACCGCTTTAGCGAAGCTTTGATACACTATTTTATTTTGTATAGTTGACCTATCTTAGGTATGAGTACCTATTCAATTTAAACTGAAATCTATAAGATCCCCCATATAAAAATGAATCCCTATTTCCCTGGTCTCGCCATACCTGAGAAGAACTATACTAATTTAATTAAATAAAAAGCAAAATATATATTTTCATGTACGTCTGGTTGGTGGCATTGTTAAAAACGAAAATCCAACTGAAAATAAAAAGGTCTTATATATTTTCTGTATAACCATGTATACCAAATTGTAATATTATGTAAGTAGTCACCAAAAGTTGATATGAAGCTGTCAACTTACCGTAATTAACAAACACTTATTAACAAACAAAAAACTTCTTAGACTTCTTAGACAAAACAAACTTTATCAAAAACTTATTAAAATTATTGTTACCGCGGTTATGGATGTGATGCCACAGATTATCAAAGATATTTTTTTTAATTGGCTTGGCTGTTCAGCCATTGGCCAATGTCAAGCTAAGGAAACAGATAGGTACTACCACAGACTACTAAATAGGTTATGCGAAATGTGTATAGGTTTACTATTTCATGGTGAGTTAATTTCAAAAATTAATAAATAATTGCAATAGGATTTAATTAACTAACCACATTTCCGAACAAACTTAATTAAGTAACCACGTTTCCGAACAAACGATGCTCTTTCAATATAGTCTATGGCTGTGAATGACGTTGACATTCCTTACGCGCGTTTTTTAAAATATGCAAAATTAAAAGTATATTTTTCAATATTTCTTAAAGATTGTCTTAATATTTTCTTCCGTAAGAACCATCCTTGGACTGCCATAAACAATTAAAAAAAAGAATGATCGAAATCGGTTCAGCCGTTCACACGTGATGCCGTGACAACGCGAAACGGGTTTCATTTTTATATATATAGATTGTGATTTACCTTCAAATCTCCGGAAATATTAGCTCCAGCTAATATACCAGTAGCGGCGGGGAAGAATATCGCGAAAACTGAGAAGAAGTTATAGTCCACTTCTTCGAACCGCCTGTAGTCTGGACCTAGATTCTGTTGTAACACTGTCCCTGGAAACCAACGTGATATTGTTAGTATTATTTTGTATCAGATATTTGTGATACGATGAATAATTATGTAAATACCTTTACAGTGGCAAGGCATTATTATAACAAAAATCTTCTTGTATATCTGTACTTAGATGTCCAACCACTTCAGAGACACACCATTAATTACATACCACCAACACTATTTAAATAAGTACCTAACTATTAAGTCACAGAGATTGCGCATTTTGGCATTTTATTCTCACTAACAAATATCGGCATAAATCACGGTTGAATTTGAATTGAAGTCGGTTTATTAATAATTCTCCTAAATGTAACAAACGCTTTTCTGAAAACCGCATTTTTTTAAGTCGGTTATAAAAATACTTACAATTATACCCAACGAATCCCTGTGCCATTTCGACGTCGCTCTTAGGTCCAACGATGGAGCCTATGCAGAAGTCCGCGATGGCTGCCAATAGTATCACCAGTAACACTATCTGTGCCTTCGCCTCCCATTCCATGCCCACGATCACTATACCCGTTAGGAGTACTATTGTTATACATCCGTATATTGCTTGGTCCTGCAAAATTAATTTGATGTTTTTAATAACTTTTGACACTGTATTAATGTAGACCGTAATAATATTTAATAATACTGAGTTTTGACATCTTAATATGAATTGTAATTACTATAAATTGAATTTGTACGCCCCTAAGGGCAAAACATGTATTGGACACTGATTTTAAACAATTAACATCTTGCATGCTTTTGTATGAATGACACATGTATATGCAAATAAATTATCTTTATCTTTAAAATAAATAGTCATATAATTAAACATTACAGTTTTTTTAATTAAAATGTTCGAGGACGCTCGACTTGTTTCGAGCCCCACCGGGGACAACAATAATGAGCTGCATACAACGGACTACGTTACACATTACCATGCTCAATTTGTTGAGTATCCTCTAATAGTTTAAATACCGATATTTAACTGGCATATGGGTGCTAGTTAGAGCGTATGCGGGTACTCGTAAAACGCTTTCTCGTTACTTGATAGTACCGAAATGCAATATGCGCAATAAATAATGTGGTAACAGGATTACAATCTACATAAATTACCATTTACAATGTCACAAATTAAATTTAAAAAATGTTTAGAATTATTATTAACAAAGTAACGTACCCATCCTTTGTCGACCATATACGCGGTCTCCGGTATAAGAGTAATGAGCGACTCTCCAAAGCCGACCACGTACATAGCGCAGGCCACCGCATTTGCCATCGAGAATATCAGGCCTATAGAGCCACCAAACTCAGGGCCCAACGACCGCGATATCATGTAGTATGTGCCACCTTGAAATAAAACATTAATGTTAAAGAGATAATGTTCATTTTTGTGAAAATACGAACAGAACTTTACCCATATGTCAAAAAGTTATTATGCCACACACTTCCCAAAAGGGTAAAATACTATGATAAATTATTTGGAAAGGAACGAGAATCAGGTACAAGTCCACATTCTGCGCTACAAGTCATCCAAATAAACCCAAAGTCTTCAAGCATATAATTTTGTATAGCCATTTACTAAACTACTTATTTTATTTGGACAAGCCGGTCACAACCTCCCAATGGCTTACATCTGCAAAAATATATCTCATATCACAAAGCAACAGCAAAATCTTCAAAATATCCGTTGTTTTAAGAATACTTAACCAATCAGACTAATGCCAAAGAGGTTGGTATAGGGACAACGGGGCCAATCCAAATAAAGCTACATTAAGAGCTAATAATTATCTATTCTCGCGACCAATTACTCCACAACAACACGAGGATAGAATTTAAAACGTGCATTAATCACGTGTCATTGTTTAGTAAACAATAAGACAGTTATACACTTTATGTGCCTTTAGTTTGTAATCAACGTTTTGTATGTTGATTTTACAACATTACTTACGATTTACTATCGACTTTGCAAACATACAAATTGCCATACACATCACACCCAGACTCCAAACAATAATTTGGGGATTACACAAATAATTGTTCCAAGCGGGAATTGAACCAGCAATCCGTTACGCAACAGCTGATTGCCCAGCCACTGCGCCAACGGTGAAACCTATCAATAGAGTGGAACCTCACGAGAACCGCTAAAAGAAGGCTCTGGCAAGAAATTCTTTCTTACTTAGAGTCTTTATGTGTAATACCCAGTGAGGGTTCCATCTAAGGATTTCAGTAAAGTTAAATTTCAGATAATCTACTTACCTCCTTTAATGACACCATTCGTACTGATGGCAGACATGGAGAGCGCCGTGATGGTGGTGACGACCGAGGTTGTGAGGATCAGGAGCATTGACTGCGCTGCCGGATTATAATGCTTTTATTGTCCACATTTTACGATATATTTGATTTACATATTGCATCAAAATTTAGGAAAGAACGAATAAATAAAACATCACTTCATATAACGGCTTCGTCTTAAGTTTTAGATGCTTTCACAAAATCACAGACCTAGATTTGAAGAAATACTTGTTCCGTGGGAAATCGAACCCACGATACCTTGTTGCGCTGCAGTCTGCAGTCGATCTAGCCAACCTCTATTAGATTTTTTAATCATCTGCACATGACACTGGATCTGTCGTTTATCTCTAAAGGTTCTCAAATCTCAAAAGAAAAACAGTCTAACAAGCAACTTCGAAAAGGCCCTCAACATGCAACTCCTTTGGAGTTGCGAGTATCGATCGACACCACTGATCACTTCACATCAGATGATCTGTCTATTAGTTTGCTCTCTACATATATAGAAGAAAATTGCTATACTAACCCACGCCCGCCTGGCCAACGACCCAGGAAAGTCGGAGGAACAGCATCACCCCCCATATGTTGAGGAGACATCGCATCAGCACTCCTTTGATCCAGCCAAACTTCAGGTTCGTTGACGTCAGCGTCGGCGTCGCCAGATCCTTCTCCATCATTTGTGGCTGGAGATGTAGCAGAATTTACATTAGCAAGACGATCACAACCAACGAAAGAAAAAATAATTGACCATGGACGATTGGAGGGATGGAGGGCATGGCATTTTTATTTAATAAATAGCATGTAAATATAAAATTAGGCTCGATTTGTCTGTGGCCATAAAGATTCATAATCCTACTAAAGATTTGCAAATAATCAAGATATCCTCGATTGGAGACTCACAATGTCTTAACAGTCGCATTGAAACTACTAGATCCAATGCAGCAAGACATAGGCATCAAAATTATTTCAGAATCTATTACCAAATGTTACGAAAGAAGATCTGCGGGAAAATAGGGTAGCTCTAACAATAAGCAGATTACACCTATGTAGCAATAGTACCTACATTTTGTACCTATAGCAGTGTCTAGCCAAGTAAACTAATTAATCCCTTAATCGCATTTACTGAGGTACCACGCAGGCACCCACGCTGCGACAATATTTGTGGAAGGTAAAGATAACGGTCTGGCTACTACAGTACAAATTGACTACTTGAATGAATAACAGACAATATTTAGTTTTTTTTTTATAATAGGAAGTAAAATTTACTGTTTCTCGAAAGGAGGCTACTTATACTCGCAATATCTACCTCTATATAGTAAGTCTCAAATCGCCTCTGGCTCGGCAAATATCGCTTGGTATTTTGGAAGTCATTTACACGCTTGTGCTTGGTCTATGGTCGCTTGTCGACCGTTGGCAAACATGGAAACGTGCCTTTAGATATCGGCACTTGTTACGAACAAGGTAGTAAAAGTAAATAAATATCAATATACATCAATTGATATAAATAAACACTTTACTCACACTTTAGTATAACAATATTAACAATGGTAGTAAAATGAAATGGTCAATAAAACCGGGAGAAGGTTGTGGAAAGAAGGGAAAGTGGGTGTTTCCACTCTACTAGGAATATCTCGTTATCTCGCGTACGCAGTATTTAATAGCTATGACGTCACCGTTCACTTTCTGCAACATTTTTCTCGTTCTCGACAATTACCCCTACCATGAACTTTACAGTGTTTAGCTAAAGCTTTCTTTTACTTTGAGACTTTTAAATAACAATATCACTCTTTTAACGTACAGGGTAGACAAAGTTACATTTTATCTACCTGTAGCTCTAGATACATAAGGCTAAGAGACATGTTAGACCTTTACGTCTGTTTCCCCTTCGGATAAGTAAATAATGGAACCGCAAATGGTACTTTTCTGGCTTATCTCATCATTCTCATCGCGTCTTTGTTATGTATGCTGCCTTTGTTCTAGTAATAAATATTACATTTAATCAACCAAGTCACTTAGGTATTTATCTAGCTAGCGACGTATGTACTTATCACTCATCAATTACTTTTCATTTCATATCACACTTAACATACAATAACAAAGCCACAATTAACCCACGCGTCATTCAATTGCATCAATCGCTAATTACCATTCACTAGCACATTCATTCATTCATTCATTCACTAATGAATGGGTCAAGAGATCAGGACATGCAAGAGTTAACGAGGCGCAGCACCTCCGACCCAAGGGCCGTAATCCGATGAACTCAGGGTTAATTCTTTTAATAGGACAAGTTACGCAAGGTCGTATTACCTAGTATTCGTAGTAAAAGGTACGTAGGTGATGAGGATTCATCGAATTGTTGAAGAAGTTCGATAAATCTTAAGGAAAGGTAGAGTGACGATAATTATCGTTTAATAATAGTTTTATGTATATTGACATCGATATCTACTGAAGTGGTTATTGAAGAAATTGTTATAAATTACAAAAAGATCTCGTAAAAGTTTTGCATGCCATTTTACAGGGTCGGTAAAGCGGTGCGGACACCATTGAAATTGCAAAATCCATGATATACCTACGATAACTGCTTTTCATCAGGTGGACCAGAACACAAGCTGTTTTGCCACTGCAGTGGCGTAAAAATCTCGTCCCTTTTACCAGGAACAGGTAAAACATGCCATCAGAATTGATTAATTGGGCCCAATAATATATTAGGTTGTCCAATCACCATTACTAGGACCACATGTTTACGAAGAGGTCCCGCGTGCGTCTTACAACGTGACCAATTAACTGATGGAAGCAATTACCACAATTAGCAACCTGGATAGATCATTATTATAGGTTAAAGGTTCACACGAAGTACTAAGGTAATGTGGTACAAGTATTTCAGAGGTGCCAAATAATAATAAGCACGTTATTAATTGATAGGTTAGACAGAATTTAAAGTTTTTTAATAGCAACAAGGAGTTCCTAATATAGTACTTTTAAATCAGTAACAAAATCATGCGCGATATTAATCATATTTTTATATACATGTCATCACAAATTTCCTAGAAATATTTCGTTCACATTAACTCATATCATAACATTCCTTTGAACACTCATCGCATACCGAATACAAATCATTCACACAAAACCGCAAATTATGTGATCTATTTCGGAACTCATGACAAACCGTTGATTAACTCGTTTCTTCAAACATTTCCCCTTAATTATGTATCTATCTTCGTCTCACGATTTCTATGCACGTAATTCTTAGGTTACCGGCGCCACTTTCAGACTTCCTCTTGCATGCTAATTTCTGATTTTATGACCATGTACAGCACGATACGATAGGTTACCTAATCATTACTGTTTACTGTAGGCAGATAACTATCGTTGAAGTATAAATGCAAGTACCATTGCGACCAAACTCTGTAACTAGAAAGTCTATACATTTGTATGCGTGTTAATACTATGAATAATCAATTATATTTGTGTCACTATATTTGTTAGAAAAAATGGGATTTTTTGGTATTAGCCGGTAATCAAGCAAACGGATCACCTGATAGTAAGCAATCGGTGTCGCCCGTGGACACCTGGAACACCAGAGGCGTTGCAGGTTGCGTTACCGGCCTTTTGGGATTAGGAATTTGAGGATTGTTGGGGATTCAGGGATTGGGGAAGGGTTGGGGGTTGGGTAATTGTTCTTCCGGTAGCCTCACTCACACGACGCAAGCGTTGTTTCACGTCAGATTTCTGTGAGGCCGTGGTATCGCTCCGGTCGAGCCGGCCCATTCGTGCCGAAGCATGGCTCTCCCACATTTAACATATTTATTTATGTGTATTATAGTTTACATTTCGGTAGCCTTTCTTTGTCGGTTCTCCTAACTTTATCCTAATTCGGTTGCAACCGGATTGAGCTGAATTTCAGTACTGTACATAGAGCTACTGCCATCATCTGCCCTCCCAGTTGCTACCACATTGTTGGTTACACACTGCCAGGCTTTGCAGCTTAAATTACAACTAGCTATTGCTACCGCCATTGTTTTCCTCATAACAACATAGTAAAGTACTAAAGTTATTTAACTAACGAGACAGGAAAACTTATTTCCTGTTGTACAACTGTTTTCAAATTTATCTTTACTCGTAAAGTATAATAAATAGTCTGTTTATTGTTCAGTATTTCAATACACTTGTCCTCATATGCCGGTGTCCAGTTAATGTGGTTACTGCGACCGCAGCTGAACAATTTATACACAGTAATTTATTTCACTATATAATAGTATTTGTAGTAGGGATGTTATGTAGGTTTCCCAGCGAGCATTTGTTATTGTTTGAATCATGTTTGTCCGCCGCATATTAAAAGTTATCATTCAACTGAATAGTATAGTAATCAGGGCTTTACTATAGCCAAAAGCAAAGACATCCCAAATGTCCCAATATCATGTGAGAGTGAAATATTTATTACATCTGCTAATATAACTGGCTAACAGCCCTAATAATCCCTCAAAAGTAGCGTATATTAAGTACATTTTATAATACTTAAACTGCGACTTAAACGGAGTTGAACCACCCGTTGAAAATGACATAAACTGTACAATTTCATTTATTTCCCTTAGGATACGTATAACAAGCCTACCCTTTTACTTTTCCAGAGGAAAAGAGGCTTGTTGACTTCACCCTTTAGCAGGCACGTGTATGTCAATTCTTTACTTTCTAACTAAACAATAGAATCCTTTGTTTCCTTACCTTCCTAGAGAGGGAAGCATTGTGCAACTCATCCAGCGTAGGTCGGGGCGCCGCGTGCAGTGAGAGAACATTCCTGTAGTTGTCCAACCTTGGCAGAGCTTCTCTAGTGAAATGCCTATGAAAATATTTTTACATACATAAATATTACATTTATATTGACAGAATATCCTTGAAATGTTTCAGTTCAGCCTATAAAATGGGAGTACATTATTTTATGTGCAACTCTAGTATTTGTACGCGACTTCGACCGCATTACTGGTATTAAAAAAGCTCTATACTGTATTCCTATATAATATCTGACTGTGAATAACTGCGATCTTATCACCAAAATCTTTATCTTCTTTTCGTTCTTCTCCATTTGAATCTACATTTTGATATGCACCTAGCTTCACTGGCGGACTTACTGACAGACTATTATTTATTTTGTATTTGTTGACGTTTCAAAAGTAGCAAATTATGGTGTATTTAAAATAAATGCTTTGACTTTGACTTTAGCCTGAAAACACTCTACCGCTGAACAAAAGTCTATCTCTAAGTTAAGTGGACTGTCGTTCTATCTACGGATACAGGTATCTACCTGAATCCGTTCAATTGAAACGAACAACCGAACATATTCAAAGCTTCACAGTTCATAATATAAATAGTATATTATTAATTCCATACATACTCAATGTTCAACATACATTATTATTACAAGGATCTGATCTAGTACTGAATCCCTCACATTTCTGCAAGTAGGTTAAGATCGAGTCACACTCGAACCGGCTTCGACGGAATGCCACTGTTTTACTGTACACCTGACCTCCGGCGAACACAATTAAAATGTGAAGCCGGTTCAATTGTGTATTAACGAATATTTTCCCACTACATTAATATTTTTACTAAAATATTTGAGATCTCTGTTCCGTCGCAAAAGTCTTTGCCTCGTTAATTACCTACTACTACCTTAGTCAGTTAGCTAATAGAAAAAAAATGCCCTGATCAGAATTCGGATTTAATAAACAAACTTTAGAGAACAGAGAGTATAGTTCCCTAAGATCGGAAAAGGAGGATCCTCCGACCAGGCGAGGTGATCGTGGCTGGCGGGCTTTCTGCCCAACAGTTGTTCGTTGGGATTTTCTATCGGTGTTACAACGTATGTAAACTTCACATGTGCAAAGTAGGATTTTATGACGTCATCCATTGACTTGTGACATGTGTCACAAAACTTACACTGATATACTTTTACGTTGAAAATAACTGTTGTATTACTAACTATAAGGGTTGAAGTTTCATTTAATAGTAACAGCTTCCATAAAGTAACATCTACATTACATTGTCGAATGACATGCAGGAGCTCAAGGTCACACTTACTGTCAAAAAGGGCAGTTGATAATAATTATTTATAGTTATTATCTGAAAGACTGACTGCCTCGTTGGCCGAGTGGTCGCAAGTATGACTGCCGGGCAAGGGGTCTCGGGTTCGATTCCCGGGTCGGGTTAAGTATTACTGCATGGGTTTTTAAAAAATTCTCAGTAGTAGCACGGAGTCTGGAATCGATTGTGCCCGGTATATGGCAATAGGCTCACCCCCTATTACATGGGACTTATAACATAAATAGTGAAAAGTGGGTGTTACATTGTACAGTGGCATAATGTGCACCTCTGCCTACACCTTCGGGGATAAAAGGCATGATGTTATGTTTTTACCTGAAACTCTTGCCATATTTGGTATCAGTGCACGTGAGAGGATCATCACTGTCCATTCCATCGGAGTCAGTGTGCTCTTGTTCCTCCTCCTGCTCATCTTCCATCTGCGAACAAATACAATATTTAGTTAGAGACGACCTCGACACTTATCTCGCATTGGCGGTTTATTTACCTTTTATCTTATCCAGCTTTAGTTTGAAAGTTCAATACTATGACTTTGATTTCACATTAATACAACTAATCTTATCAACATTAAGTACAATGTGGTTCATCGATTCGTGTGTGCTTAAAGTTTAGCATAAATGGAAATGAAACCATTAGGTAATTGGCGTCCATTTTCCAAAAACACATTTATGCGCAAATCCTACGTAGATGTCATGTAAAACAGTGTGTAGGTGTATTGTGTAGCATGCATCGTTATCCACCGATAAATTCGCAAATCGATTTAAACGGCTAACAATAAACCGTATCGAAAGATTTACAGCAGCTTCACGTAAGTCATAGGCAACGATTGATCCGTACTTTAGTATCGCGAGCTAAATCATTCACCAAGACATTGTAGTTATTGTGGGCAGTACATTAATGACGTCATCGATCCGATCTAAATATTTATGGGGAACTGAGGCATCTGATGAAGCCGGTGTTACAGGACAGTGGGATAATGGAGCAAAAACTAGAGGCCCATGTTGGGTTATTCATCGTATGTGAGGAAGTATCATACACAATGGAATAATATATTTTATAAAAACTATTAGGTAATGGACCCATGTGTGCTATTAATAGTAATATATTCGTACAAAAAATGTTACGGTAAGTTATTAAACTAACACGAGCCTAGTCATTTAGTAGCTTACAATTACAGGATTAACTTTTCTTGCATAGTAACAAATTATTGTACTTATACTATGAAAGTTTTACAGGTCATTTAAATGAAACAACATTTGAATTTCAATAACGTATTTGAAAGCATGAATGATTTACTATTTGTATCGATTGTAAACAGAAAAATAAATGTAGAATGGAGTCAATGTTAATATGTATTTATAAATGTTTTATTACTAGCCGAGTCGATTTATTTGTTTTCTATTCAATACTCTGCCAAATCATCCATGCATGATAAGCGTGAAGGTTAGTTTATTTTTTTATGATACGTTGTTTACATACAATATCAGGAAAGTACGCATATGACATTGTATGTAATGCTTTACGATATAAAAGAGAACTACAATAGTAACAAGGACTCTTGTATTAGTCATTTTTATTGTTTAAGTACCACAACTCGACTGACTGTTAAAGTCATTAGTCATTAGACAAGCATCAAATACTATGTATTTGTGGTTACGAATATTTAGCATAGTGAACTTATGCAAAATATTACGCATTTGCAAGTCAATAGTTCGACGTCATTCACTGTTAAGTGTAGTAAATTAAAATGACCAAAATTAGCTGAAGTACAGTCCTACTTATTGTTTTAAGTTTAGTTTGAGGAAAGCCTGACAAAGATTTCCATTCAGCTAGCGCAACTTATGCAAGCTGTTCACAATGTCGGCTTACCATAATATGAAGACAATGAAACTCTTTGCATTCCAACGGAAAAGTCGACTTGAAGCTTAGGAAACAATTCAATAAAGAAGTGGAATAAAATAAGATAGAAAGAAGAAAATAAATCTCCAGCGAGTGGACATAACGATAAAACTTTCAATGAATTAAACTCGTCTAAATTAATATTGAGTGCACTAAACCATTCTTCAGGAAAACCAGTGACAGGAGACCAGAGACCAGAGAACCCAGTTGAAGAATGAACAAATAGAGATTCAAGTTTATTTATTTAAAAAAAAAGGTGAAGTAACTGAAGAGTGAAGCGACAGGCGAAACAACTCAAAACAAACGTTGAAATAGAGTTACCTAATCAATTAAAAAACAAGTGTTAAATGTAAAGGGAAATAAACGTAACTAAATTAATAAAACATTGTAATAATAAAGCTTCAGTTCCTAAGCGCCTTGCCACGGCAGATATATTTAACGTCGTGAAGTTTAACTCACATCATTACGTAATATAAATACCTCGACCGCATTCACACGGTCTACGATGAAAATATGAGCTTGTGTTCTTTGATATAATGTAGAAAATGCAGCTATGAAGACAAACGATGGTAAATTCATCAAGTCCGTGCGTCTGAACTCCTGGTGTACATGTGAAGCCTGCCACTAAAGTATTTTCTATCGATAGTTTAACAGCTCTATTAGTAAATAGACAGGTGTGTCTATATCGAAGCTAACGGTACACAGCAATAATCCACAGAGAACTTTTTCGATTTTGAATCCAATGCAACTGCCATAAGGACCAAATTCTCAAACATCTTATTTTTGGACTTATTATTTCAATTGCCTATACTGAATTTCCAAAACGCATTCTCTCACTCAAGTGTGACTTTTGTCCTATTAGCTTTTCATACTTCAGTACCTAAATGTTTTTGAGGTTGTAGTTTATTGTTAAGACTGCATTTAAGAAATCTCTCTATAGATATTGTACATTTGTCCCCAGTGTTGACTCAATATTAATGTCTACTTAATGTGACCAACTAACTTAACTAATCGAGTATTACACATACATATTTATTTATTTATTTACATAATATATGCTTATCAGGAACCTTGAACCAATTCGTACTTCCGCTGATTACTCGCTTTTAATCGACTCAGGGTTCGATTATAACAAACCGCAATATTTATTTCCTATAGGACCAAAATTCGAACTCCGTTTTAGTAAAACACATTAATGTTGAGGAAAATACATCTAGGAAATTAAATTTTAATTACTCGTTTTGGGATGTTTTCATTCTTCCGAATTCTTGTCAGTACAAGGTTAACAACAAATATAATATTGGTAAACTAGTTGATCCGATAGACGTCGTCCAGTCTATTAGCACATTGGAATGTGGTAGAGTATTATTTTTTTCAATTTTAGACATCATAAAACATATTCGACCCTCAAACTGATCGGAAGAAGATTTTAATAAACGATATTTAAAAACGTACACATGTCTAAACCGTCCAGTAAAATTTTCCACCAGCAACCAGTTACTTACAATTTAAAATACAATAAATACAATGAAGGACAAATGGCACCTTTATCACGATCGCATCTTTACGGCGCTTTTAAACTCGTAAAATGCTAAGATATAAGTCACGAATATAATTTGTGTCAATGATTTTTTTCTCGGAAATCTTCTCTAGAAGAACAATTTGGCGAGTTTACCCTTCCAATTATTAGGACAAAAATGGCGGTAAGCAAAAAAGACGGCAGTCTCAGTATAATGACGTGAAAAGTACCGTTATGTGTGAAGGCTTTGCAATCTAGTACGGTCAACGGCGACATGGCGCCATTTCCACCAAAATCCTCTGACATTTGATATCCAAATCATTAGCTAGACATGGGCACTGTGGTCAGTCATTTTGTCTGAAGCACTTTAACCTTGACCCATTCTCCAGCAGCAGACAAAAGGTTGTGAAAACATACCTCTACATATTTAGGTGATTTGGTCGTTGACGCGTGAATCACTAAAACCAAGTAGGCGTGCTTTAAGTTATGCGTATGCCACCTACGTTAAAGAAACAATACATTCTAGCGATAGTAAGTTACCTGAGCAATCACGATTTTTAAGACCGTCTTACACGAACATGGTCATATCCTGAATGTCAGTAAATAGACAAGTAACAAGTCTTATAAACCTCGACTTTCCGTCTTTATTCTACAATAAAATGGCTATAAAAGTAGCTAATCATCACTTATCTATATGTGTAACTGTTCAAAACTAACATATCAAACAGAACATGTAACCGGTACAAATTGTAGTCAGTAAGACAATGGCTCATTAAACATTGAATAATTCTAAATTGTTTGACGGGACAGCCACGTGGGCCCACCGGCTCGTAACGGTACACCTTTATTTAACGTACAAAAATTAATAACCCTAATGCTTTAAAGAGAAACTAATACTTCTCTACGAATCTACTTAAGTACAAAAACTGCCCTTATACTACGGTAATAAAGGCGTTCGTATTCAAATAGTTGGTACGCACGCATTTGGTCACAGTCTATGCTTTCTCTCTGATTTATTATGCACATATTAGGGTGTTGGTCACTGACAAGCATAATGTATCGGCCTAAGTACGTACTTACGTAACATTAAAATACTACTACTGGAAAATTATAGTCTCCTTAAATGTAGACTAGACACTTAGAATAAAAATGTAAAGACTAGGAACTCGAAGTATGACTTGAATGAAGTCCTGTACTAAAGCTGTTAGAAGAAATAATTAAACCTAAGTGAAACTCGACAATTTAAAGGTACAACTTAAACTTGTTTTCCAATTTCTCAACGTTACTAGTTTCCAACCGCGCCTGTCCGATTCTTATTAAGGCAGTAGCAATTAATAAGTGGTAAGTGAATACAGATCTAATAAAAACAAACAGTGAGATACGCTCCAATGACAACGTGTCTACGGCGCTTTTCCTTCACCAGTATTTATGATGCAAAAACATCATTTTCTTCTGAACATGATTACACACCAAACTATTTTATAAACCGCAGGATGTTTACATTGGCGCCGATCATAGACATCTATCATTTTCTATGTTTTCATATCAAACTGCAATAAAATTGAAAGTAACGACATTTTTACGGCTTTTCTGTGGCCACATCTAGCTGTAGATCCTCACACTTGCTGGTTGTAATTTCAATCTTTGTTTATTACAATTAGGTTTAAAGTTGATTGTTAAATTGTCCCTATCTAAAATTAGCCTCCGCCTCCGACATACATAAAGTGAATGGTTCTGTAGCTATTTTGGTCCCTCTTTAAGAGGATGTGTCTCTTGTGTGAATCAGTGTGCTGAACTCATTGCAGCAAGTTGATGAATGTTTACAAGCTGATGGAGTACCCGTGACTCAATGTTAATGGAAGCACGAGAGGAATGTCCAGCGTCATGTAGTCCAGGAAACTTGAAATATTTGGCCATATTTCAACACACGTGAAGCATAATCAGTTCAATAGAGAAACTAAAATAAATACCGAACACGCCAGTTTCCAGTGCATTGAGCAA